AAGTGATCAGTCTTTGGAGAAAGAAGGGCAAAGACACCTTTTTGTCTTTTGTCTCATTCTCAGAGAGGTGGTAGGTGCTCAAAAATAACAGGTGAAATCTTCCTGATCTAGATAAATAGCTAGATATATCAATATATACAGTTATGGAGATATGGAGAAAAGTACAAAGGGATACATACCAGGTAATTTATAAGCACTTGGGGGTAGAGATAAGATGATAAGATTAGAAAGGAGAGGCAATTAATAAAATAATAGTAATAATTTTTGAAAAGTATATATTTTATGTGTATAAAATTATGATTCCATTTCAATAAAAAAATTTTGAAAAAAGCAAGTTAGAGCTATATGTATAAAGGTTGTTCATGCTATACTTAAGTAAACTGCAAATTCCCTCTCTATGTAAAAACAAATAAAACCTTTTAATCTGCACGTATACATATTAATAAAGGGAAAGGGAAAGAAGGGCATAAATCAAGCTAATCTGAACATGGGCTGACAGTAATTGGAGACACTTAAAGATGTGAGGTGCACTGGGTGTAGGTTACTACTGGTGACTTATTTCCTGCATTCTCTCCCCTTCATGCTGCTTGTAGTCACCAGGGGCTTACTTGCCCAGAAGCTTATCTCCTGAGGTGGTGACCAGCTTATCTCCTGACCCATACTTTCTTGCCTCAGCTTTCTCTGACCCATACCAACCATTCCCTAGTGTGGTTGAGAGTGTGGGCCCTGGTCAACCACCAGCTAGAGAAATGTCTCTGTGGCATCTCGTAGGATTGAGTCTTTCATGGTAAGGGGCTGCAGTGTGAGGTCATTTTCCAAAAAGGGACAGACCCAGAATCTGAGTTGGGGTTGCAGGCCAAAGGAGTAGCAGTGGGCAATTGGGTGGTAAGAGGTCAGGTTGCTGGTAGCGCCCTACTGCCAAATCAAACTTCAAATATTATTCCTCCCATCACTGTGTTTAGGGAAGGCAAAACTCCATTAATATGACAGATCCCCATTTTCCTGCCAAAATCTAGTCTACAAACAGTGACCGCAAAACCAGTAAATAAGGCATGATCTTTTAGTGCAGAGTCTAGTGTACTGTCGATTCTCCATAGCTATTCAAGAGCAGCAACACTGCTTTCTTTGAGCAAGATTATGTCCCAGGACTTTGGTAGGTGTTTTTACATGAACAGAAGTAACTAGGTGTTCGTGACACTATACATGCTGGAATACCTTAAAAGCCAGAAAGTATACTTGAGAGAGAGACATGAAAACAATTTTTAAAAATCCACCTATAATACAAATTATGTATTTATACATTATTAAGGATATATCAAAACTTACCTCAACATCTCTCTCTGTCATATTCCATCTCATTATGTTTTAATATAACTAAGATAGTTTTATGCTACTGGTTTTTTGACATTCAGTATTATTTTGTGTCAGTGTCAGGTATACAGCATAGTGATTAGACAATCATATAATTTACAAAGCAATCCCCCTGATACTTCAAGTACCCACCTGGCACCATGTTTAGTTATTACGATATTAATTTCTAATGCTAGTATTTTTAACGTCTTCTTAGAAATATGCTGACAATCTTACTTTATGCTACCTTTTCAGACTAGTTTCATTCAGTCGCTCATGCAACAAACAGTTACTCAGGATCTGCTATACACTAGGCAGCATTCTCTGCTCTGGGAATAAAGCAGGGGCCAATGAGACAATACTCCTTTCCCTCATGGAGCCAATATCCTCCTGGAGGGAACAGTCAATAAGTAAATAAGTGCTCAGTAGAGTATGTCAATTGGTGATCAGCCCTACCGGAGAAAAGAAGAGTGACAGACAGTGTCACTGGTGGGTAGAAGTTGCAATTTTATGTAGCTGGAGTCAGGAGCGGCCTGGCTGAGAAGAGGGTGCTTGAGCACTGTGCTGAAAGAGGTGAAGGGGAAGCACAGTGAACATCCAGGAGAAGAAGGTTGCAGCCTGAGGAGTTCAACAAAGGATAAGGTCCTGAGTCAGGGTGCATGCTGTCACCTCTCCAGTGTCATCTCCTCAATTTCTTCACTCCCATCCAGCGCTGGCCTCCATGCTGTGGCTCAGACACGTGCTGACGGATGGGAGGGGGCCAGGGAGGCAGTGTATGAGCTCCTCTGAAGAAGCCTTCTGCTCTAATTGAAAGACAGGCCATCATCCTGCCTGAATAGGATGCTGGGCAAACACTTTTCTTGAGCAGCACTGTCCACAGAACTTTCTGCAGTGACAGGTTGTTCTCTATCTGTGCTGGTCAATAAGTAGCTGCTAGACACATGTGGCTATTGGGCACCTGAAAAGTGGCTAATATGACAGAGGAACTGAAATTTTAATTATATTTTAACTAATTTAAATTGCAAAAGTCAAGTGTGGTTAGTGGCTACCATACTGGCCAGCATAAGTCTAGAATAAAGGTAGGTCTTGAGAACACAGGAATTTACCATTAATAGACAGACACCTTACTTCTTAAAAAAAATACGTTTCACTTCACTTGCTGAAGTTACAGTTTGTCCAATAAAAAGTCTATGACTGTCCTGGCCAGGTAGCTCCGTTGGTTAGGGTCATGCTAATACGCCAAGGTCGCAGGCTCAATCCTCAGTGAGGGAACATACAAGACTCAACCAATGATGCATAAATAAGTGAAACAACAAATCCATGTTTCTCTCTCCTTCTCTCCCCCCCTTCCTCAACCTTCCTCTCTCTCTCTCAAATCAATAAATTTTTTTTTAAAAACAGCAATCTAAACAGTTGGCAAAAAAAAAGTTAAAATTATTTGATTAAATATGGCAATTATGATAGCTTTATTTAATTGCAACACAACATGTGTTAATCATTATTTACTGTGTAGTTCTTTGTCTACTGTATAGAAAACCTATTGCTATGAGGCTTTCTTACCTCATCTTTAGTGTTTTCCTGTGAATGATTTATTATTGCTAAAGTAATAGTTAAGAAATTTTTTTTAAAATCTATTCTTTTATTAGCAACAACTGGATTTTTATCTTTTATTCTTTTAGATTAAACTGATTGGGGTAACATTGGTTAATAACATTGTATAAGTTTTGGCTATACAATTCTGATTATAATACGTCATCTGTATATTGCATTGTGTGCTCACCACCCAAAGTCTAGTAAAAATATGTTTTTAAGATCAAGCTGCATTTCTTGCTAGCAAGCTTTTTCTTCTGGATCTGATTTCTCTTCAGGCGACACACTTACATGCAAATGTAAAAATGTAAATGAAATATCATGAATGGGTTGTGGAATATTAAGCTATACATTCATGTACTGTTAAATTCTAACAAAATCAAATGAGGGACTGTGATTAGCAGAATGGCTAGAAAAGATCTGGGGGTTGGGGAGGGGGAGAATTAGCATTCAGACAGCTTTATTTTCTACAAAACTGGAAACAGAAGCTACTCATTACTTCAAGAGATATGCAAGGCCAAGCTTTAAAAAAGGTTCTATGAGAAAAGCACACACACATACAGTATATACGTGCCATACCAACCACACACTATTAAAGCTACACAAGAAAACTTCATGGTTTAGAATTTCTATGTTTAAATCAGCAGCACCCAGACAGGATAAAAGCCAGTTACTACAAAATTTATTGCTTGGTTAAAACTCAGTTTACAATTCAAAGGATTTTAAAAATCTCTGTGCTGTTATGAAGCTTTACAGGGTTTATAGTGAAGATGAAAACAGAAATAAAGAGATCTGACAAACAGAAAATGCCAAAGATATTTCCAGCATTATAAACATGGATTTTTCTCCCCCATCATTACTTTTTACCTTATTCCAAGAAAACTGAATTTAACTCATTTGCCTGAAAGTTACTAAACTACCCTTCCTGGGACCCCTTTCAAAATGTAAATGTTTGATGGGCAATTTTATTTGAAAGATGTTATTTTTATAATTTTTAAAAAGAACTAGAATGTAAACTCCACAAGGGCAGGAATTTTTTTTTTTAATTTTCTTTATTGATTGATTTTGAGAGAGAGAGAAAGAAACATCAATTTGTTGTTCCACTAATTTATGCATCATTGGTTGTTTCTTGTATGTGCCCTGACTGAGGACTGAACCCACAACCTTGGTGAATGGGGACGATGCTTTAACCAACTGAGCAACAAGGCCAGGGTCAGGAATTTTTGATAACCTGCAGTATTTCCAGTGCCTAGAATAGTGCCTGCCATATAGTAGGTACTTAATAAAAATTTATTGAATTAATAATTGAACCAGAACCTTTTAGTAAAATAAGATAACCAAATTGCATTTTGAATGTAGATTTTCATTTTAACATTGGGAATGTAGAATTATTCCACTTATCAAAAGTTCTTATTTTACCACCTATACGTACAAAGCCCTTTTTAAAGCTTACTGGTAATTCACAGAATTAGTCAAAGTCTTTTACATTCATTATTTCTATGGTTATATAATTCTATGATCCTTTCCAATCCAAATTTTATTTATTCTAATAATGACCTAAACTGTAAAGGAAAAATCTGAAACCCATTCAAATGGAATGCATGGAATGTTAAGACAAAATATTATTTAAATTACTACAGACATAACTGCAAGACAACTGGTGGACCATCCTGGACATTTCACGGTTTTCTTAAATCTTTTAAAGGGTATTTTCTAGTTCTCTGCTTAGCCCTGTTTTTTATTACCATCAAATCCTTCCTTTTCAAAATCAAGTACATTGAAATGCTGTACAAAAAATTGTAATGTGCTTTTTAATTTTTATACCAAAAGACCCAACTTAAGAACAAAATCTAATACACATTGGAAAATACTAAGCTGGGATGTTTGCTGAAAAGCTGTTTACTGCAATAGTTCCAATGTTTTATCAACTAATACTAAAGTTTAAATTAGGGCTAAACTCAGGAAATTGATCTTCATAACATTTTAACATGTTTGTCTTACCAATAAGGTGGTTTTCTTTTATTAAAAAAACCCAACAGACTTAAATGTCCTTGACTTACAGTCAAATTCCGGTCCCAGATCTGTATGCTTCCATTCTGGCAGGCAGCTGCTATGAGGTTTCCATCTCTACTGTATGTGCACGTGGTAGGGATGACTTTTTTACCCTGCATCGTCCGTGGTTTAAACACACTTCTTTGCTTCTTTGGATTTTCAACTTCCCACGTCCTCACAGTCCTAAAAAGAACAAGGAGATTTTCATGTACCAAAGAGAAAGGAGTTCAAAATACAAAAGGGCCCATAAAGATTCTCCAACTTTTAAGCATATCTTTAATAATTACTTTAAAATAAAATGTGCACTGTAAAACATTCTCCAGTTATAAATGAGGTTACTCTCTGAAATAAAGTGAACCAGCTAAATCATGCTGTTGTCAAATCAAACAGCAAATGGCAAATTCTATTTCAAGTCTATCAGAATCACTAGTTCTGACCCTCTAAGCAGTGGCCGCCACACAGTCTGACTGGTACACTCTGGTAAGTAAGCTTGCTGAACACATGCCCCCTCTGTACACACATTAATTTCTGAGTTACTTGTACGTGTCAATGCCCTGTCATATGACATACACTAGGAGAAACACTGAAAAAACAAGTCATTAAAAAAGAACATCGTCCTGCTCTGGGGCCCAGGCGAAGGTTTCCTGCCTCTCAGGGAGGAGTAAATACAAAGCTGCCAGCCCCTGAGTTTTCACTAATAACAAGCAACACAGTAATAGGGCTGGGGTGGGGACAGAATCCAACAAATATGAAAATATAATATATCAAAATTCATGGTATTCAGTTAATGCAGAACACAGAGGGAAATACAGCACTAACTATACATACTAGAAAAAGAAGTCTCAAATCAATGACCTAAGATTCAACCTTAAGAAACTAAAAAAAGAAAATTAATCCAAAGCAAGCAGAAGGAAGGATATAATAAAAAGGAGAGTACAAAGGAATAAAATAAAAGAGAGAAAAACAGCAGAGAAGCCAAAAGCTGGTTCTTTGAGAAGTTCAATAAAATTAGCAAGCAGCTAGCAGAATTAATGGAAAAAACAGAAATGTGAGACAATATAAAAAAAAGTGGTATTTTGAATGAAAGAGAGGATATCACTCTAGAGCTTCTAACAATATTAAAAGGATTATAAAGGAATTTTATGAACAAATTTATATACATACATTTGATAATTTAGCTGAAATGGACAAATTTCCTTGAAAGACACAAACTACCAAAACTCACTCAATAAGAAATAAAAAACTAGAGTATTCCTGTATAATTAAAAAAGCTAAATACATAATTTAAAATATTCCTACTAGGGAAACTCTAGACGGCTTCACTGTTGAATTCTACCCAACTTTTTAGAAAGAAATAGCACCAACTCTATACAAGTTTCTATTCTTCCAGGAAATAGAAGAAACATGTCACAACTCATTCTATGAGGCCAGCATTACCCTGATGTCCAAACCAGTCACTCCATTGGGTATATGGACCCGTATATCCAATGAAGACAGACACAAAAATTCTTAACAAAATATCATCAGCAAATTCAAACTAGCAGTGCATAAAGTGATAATACATCATGATTAAGTGGTAATTAAACTAGGAATGCAAAGGAGGATTGGAAGGACTGAAAATTAAACAATACAGAGCACCGTATCAACAGACAAAAAGAAAAAAGACATATGAGCATATCAATTCATGTAAAATAAGAATTGGGGGAAAAAATCCGACATTCATTCATAATTTTTAAAAAAATTTCCCGCCTGGCTGGCGTGGCTAAGTGGTTGAGCATCGATCTAGGATTCAGGAGATCACGGTTCGATTCCTGGTCAGGGCACATGCCCAGGTTTCAGGCTCGATCCCCAGCAGGGGGCGTGTAGGAAGCAGCCAATCAATGACTCTCTCATCATTGATGTTTCTATCCCTCTCTCTCCCTCTCCCTTCCTCTCTCTGAAATCAATAAAGATATATATATTTTTTTAAGTTTTAATTTTTCTTGGCTAGATACCTAGAAATGGGATTGCTTGTTGTATGGGAAGTATAGAGTTATTAACATTTTAAGAAACTGCTAAACTGTTTTCCAAAGTGACTGTTCTATTTTGAATTCCCACCAGCAATGTAAAAGTTTCAATTGCTCTATATCCTTGATAGCACTTGGTATTACCAATTGTTTTTTTAAGCCACTCTAATAGGTGTAGAATGTATTGGTATTATGATTTTAATTTACACTTTCTAAATGACTAATGATGTTGAGGATCTTTCCATGTACCAGCTGCTATCCATTTTCCTTCATTAGTGAAATGTCTTCAAATCTTTTGCTTGTTTTAAATATTTAGTTGTTTATTTTCTTATTATTGTATTTTAACTGTTCTTCAGTTATTCTAGGTACAAGTACCTTATCAGATATGTGTTTGGCAAATAATTTTCAAGTCTGTAGCTTGCCTTTCATTTTTTAAAATAGTCTTTCAAATAGCAAATGCTTTAAATTGTAATAAAGTCCTACTTATCAAAATTTTTTATATTATATCTAAGAAATCTCTGCCTAACCCAAGGTCACAGAAACTCTCCTGTTTACTTCTAGAAGTTTTATACTTTTAAGTTTTACAACTAGGTCTATAATCTGTTTTTTTATTGTTGACAGTATTACAAGTATCCCGCATTTTCCCCCCTTGTCCCCCTCCACCTAGCTCCTGCCCCACCCCAGCCTTCCTCACACTATTGTCTGTGTCAATGGGCTATGCATATATGCATATGAGTTCTTCGGTTAATCTCTTCCCGTCTCCCTCCCCTCCTCCCCCTGAGAACTGTGAGAACTGTCAGTCTGTTCCATGTATCCATGCCTCTGGACCTATTTTGTTAGTCAGTTTATTTTGTTTATTAGATTCCACTTATAAAGATCATGCAATATTTGTCTTTCTCTACTGGCTTGTTTCACTTAGCATAATACTCTCCAGGCCCATCCATGCTCTCGCAAAGGGTAAGAGCTCCTTCTTTTTTATAGCCACATAGTATTCCATGGTGTAAATGTACCACAGCTTTTTTATCCACTCATCTACTGATGGGCACTTGAGCTGTTTTATATGTGGTATGAAGTCAAGGTTCTTTTTTCACATATAGAAATCCACTGTTTTGGCAACATTTGTATCTGAGCATTATAAAACCTTACCCCTTGCTGAATGTACTCTATATTGCTTACTTATCTCCTATCTCTGTTTACTATGCTTCCCATAGTAAATATGCACGAAACATTGAGAAATACCTTGTGTGCCTTTTCTTTCTACACTGGGCTCTGCAACAGTAGGGATAAATTATGATGGTTTCTCCTTTTCTATAACTGAACATCTCCAAAAGTCAGATGATACTTTAGAATTATAACATGAAAGGCTGCACACAAGTATCATTATCATTATCTGGCTTGTTTAAAGTTCTTCATCTCTAAAACTGGGATACTACTACCACAATGAGGAGTACTGAGAATAAATGAGATTAGGGATATAAACGTGTCTAGGACAGCACTTGGAACACAGCAGGCACTCAATAAACACTAGTTCCTTTCTGCTCTTCCTCTCAGACCATAAATGAAATATTAAAGCTAAAATACCCAATAACTAAGAATGTTTTATCTATTTCAGTCATATAGTAACAGGTTGAGCAAGTTATCAAAATAACAGAAGGGAAAGTGCAGCTAACCTAGCACATAAATGTATGAAATAAAAATTTACATAGCATCTGATGATGACTAATTACACTGCAGTTTTATGGTTCCAATTCTCTGAATCTGTGTCTTCAAAAATGGATGCCAAAGTACTGGGCCATTAGGTATCTGTCAAAACATTTTATGCAGAAGAACACATATTTTGAAACTTGAAGTGAGAGCTGATCTTATAAAATTAAATCTGTGTTTCATAAAAAAGATTTGAAAATAGAAGAAATAACTGCCTGGGCCTTTGTGGAAAACAATGAAAACACAGAAGACAAGAAAGAAACACAGGTGGGGCCAGTACATTGCCCCAGGCACAAATGCTTTCTGTCTTAAAATTCTGAATTCTTTCCAGATACAAGTTCTGAACTTTCTGGCATCTGCTGTATAAATGCATGACCGCGTTTGGCAGAAGTCAAGGGAAGCATTAATTTTGCATGTAAATCACTTAAGAGATCTTGGTTTAATTTTTTCTTGAAAGACTACACAAGCAACTTGAGTGATGCTGGCTCCCTTGGCAGAACAAATCCAACAAAAGTGGCCTTCTTTTCAATATGCCCAAATATTAGGGTATTAAAGTTCCATAGAAATGGGGAAAATGTTCCAGCGTGGATACAAACCCACAATAACCTTTATAAACACACACAATTCACATATATACAGAGTAACTGCAATAAGAATGCAACTGCACTTGAGAGAAACGTATTTGGTACTAATGTCTTATACCTACAATTACTAAAATTAGGCATTCTGAAATCTAGCATCAGAGTAGGAAATGAACACTACAATAAATAACCACTTATACTCTTACATTTATGGCCAACTGATTTTTAACAAAGGTGCCAAAAGAGTTCAATGGGAAAAGAATGGTCTTTTCAAAAAATGATGCCAAGGCAACCAGATATCCATATGCAGAAGTGAATGTGGACTTCACACCATAGAAAGATTAACTTAAAATGGAACATAGACACAGATGTAAAACTCTTAAAATATGACCTTGGATTAGGGAATGATTTCCTAGATGCAACACCAAAAGCACAAATGATTTAAAAGAAAAAAGGTAAATTGGACATCATCAAAGTTAAAAATTTATCTGCTTCGAAAGATACTATGAAGAAAGTTTAAAGAAAAGACCTAGACTTGAAGAAAATATTTATGAATCATATATATGATAATGGAATGGTATCTAGAATATCTAAGAACTTTTATAATTCAATAAAAAGTTAAGTGACCCAATTCATTAAATGGGCAACAAAAGATTTAAACATGTTTCACTAAAGAATGTATACAAATGCCCATTAAGCCTGTGAAAAGATGCTTGATATTATCTGTTATTCAGAAAATAAATGCAAATCAAAATTACAATGAAATACCACTTCATACCCACTAGACAGCTACAATCAAAAAGAGAGACGATACTAAGTGTTGGTGAGGAAGTAAAGAAACTAGAACCTTCACTCGTTATTGGTAGGAGTGTAAAATGGGGGAACCACTTTG